CCACATTTTTGTTCCATTTTGTCTGTTTTGACAGGTCATGACCAAATTATCAAATATTCATTCATTCATCAAATATTCAAATATTCAATATTCAAATATCAAATAACTATTCATTCATTCATTCATTCATGTATGCCACCTGTAAACTCTTTGTTTGGTGCCCAAAGCACACAATAACAGCACAAGTTTTTTTAGGTTAGTACATCACAAATAATTGATAATATTGAAATGTGTACATCACTGCAGAACTAGATAGCAATATTAGAAGTTAAAGCAATGTGGAAACATCCTTAAACATCTTACCAAGAGTATCTGAGTGCAGATTTTCCTCAGGCACAGCTAAAATATAGTCAGCCTCCAGCTCCTCTTCAGCCATCACTGGAACAGAAATGCATCAAGCTATCATTTGAGCAAGTGCTGACACATGCCACCTATACAAGTAAGGTTGTAACACCGACACATGCCACCTATACCGGTAAGGGTGTAACACCAGACACACAACACATGCCTGTACGATTCTGTGGAATATCCCACCTATCAGGTAAACCCTTCAACAATAAACTAAAAATAACCTATTCTACTTTTAGGCATATGTGCTGTTTTCACCTTTTTCAATGAACATGCACCTACACATGTGTTTTATTACTGTTCACATTTTGTACTCTGAATGTGCAACTAAAATCAGGCTATATGAGATCAGGTGGTTCTGATTGTAGTTGGGAGTTGTGACCAATGGCTATAACTCATACTATACAAGCAGCAAAGTTAATCTGGCAATTATATATGCAAGTATCAAGCGTAGGTACAAATATGCTTCTGGCTAATTACAATACCTTAAATACCCTAAAATTTTCAAACCTTGACTAAGTTCTAGCATAACCAAAACATTGCTCATCCTAAAAAATCAAATTCTTGTGTCCTGAATTCTGCCCACAAATCAGATGGTCTTCATAACAGTATGTCCACTTCCACCATTCCATTTGACCACAAAAACTTTTAAAGCTACTTTACCATTACATACTGCCTCAAGTTACAACCAAAGTTTCATTCCATGCGCTTGTTTCTTCTTCACTCATGTGGTGACAGTGCATTCTAAAAAACACTTCACTTTTACTCCAAGGTTGAACACTTGCATTTGTGTTAGATGGATTTGACTTTGCCTCACTGTTCCTGGTGTAAAAACTTGCGAGCAAAGTGTGTCTTTCACAACTTCAATCATGGCATGGCACATGTAACAGATGCAATGAGCATGTGTTCTCTTTTTGTGTGTTCCCAAATCACACACCTCATCTCAGCTTACTGTCCAGCACACCAACAAAACCCTTTGGTGTGACAAACACATGGTGATCACAATTGTCAGAACATCATTCTAAGTGCACACAAATGTGTAGAAAACCATCAACTAAACTGACACATGATCAGCAAAAAAGAAGTGTGCAACTGCTGTACATCTAGTTAAGTGCTAGGAAGCTGGCAGGCACTGTTGGTGCTGCTACAAATAATATAAATTTCATTATTTTCATTAAAATTCCATTTGAACATGCAGAGCAGCCAGCTTTTGTGTTGATAAGGAGATTACTTGAGGCATAGCTGGTCTGCTACAGGGGAGTCAAATCAATTCTAATGCACAACACTGAGCTGATTCTCTGCAGTTCACTCAGAGCAGCTTAAACCAACTTTATGTCAAAATAATTTACAACATAAGCAAATATGGCTCAATTTGTGAATCAATTATAATGGAGCCAGTTCTGGAGAAAATTGAATTACTTGATAAATGATCAATTTCATGACTTTCTCAGTCTTTAGGGCATCTGTACATCAGAGTATCAGAGCATCACAAGCTGTCTACAACATGGCAGTGTATAGTGTAGACTACAATAAACTTCATGCTACCAGATTTGGAACTCAGAATTTGGTAAACACCCACCACCATTTCAGCATAAACAGAGTGAATGTTTCATGGAATTAAGATGCTGAGGATATAACTTCAGACAAAAATGCCACAAAAATGTTGATGTGCAAATAATTCAAAATTCAGCACAATTTGGCACTGCCTAAGCCTGAAAGACAAAAGTGTGAGGTTCAGTGCACCAGTGCTGTGCACACACCTGGCACAGTAGCCATGTTTTTTTTCTGCAGACTGATCTGCAGTGTTTGAGGCAATAGAATCAATGCTTCATTGGTTTGTGCGATGACCATGCTCGAATAAAAAAATGACTCTTTACAGCTGTGCTCCATTAAGTGGACATAAAATGGTTAGAATGAGCATACAAATGCCCACATTTATGGTTGAACCATCACCGACGACTTGTTAACCAAATTTATTCGGACTCACCAGACAAGTTGAAATGAATCGCTTGATTCCTGACTCGATGAAATTTGGTTTGATTCTCGGTTTCACTCCGACTCCGACCCTAAGTTAAACACATCCTCAAACATAGGAACGGAGGGGCGCACAAGAATACACCCACAACGCTCAATATTCAACAAGACGTGACCCGTAAAACCGCTGTTACGGGCCTATATTCATTGGCGTTAGGAGTAAGAGCCCAGCCGCGCCAGTTTTGTCGACACAATAGGCAGCTGACGACGATGACGTCACGGCAAACAGCTTAACCCTGTGACGTCAGTGATCTGAGGGAGATAAACATTGCGATACTGAAGCCGAGCCGGGCGGGATAGTCGTCCGATAATAGTGTGTAGGGGAGGGCGCCGCGCGCGCGCTCTTATCACCAGGGATGTCGCGTCGAAAACAGAGCAACCCCCAAGCCCTGCAAACGTGAAGTACATACTGTGAGGGCTGTTGTGGGAGTTGGGATGTGCCGTTTTTGCGTGTTGGGAGGCGTAGCCTGCGCGGGGACTTCGCTCGACCTTTTGAAGGCCGGCCCCATCCCGCCGCTGGCAGGAGAGGTCAGGGGGGTGGGGGCTTCGGGACTATGCCCCCTGCTCCTGGAAGTGGTGGGACTCCACCTGGGCCCGAAGGCGTCAATGCTTCTTGGCGATTCAGGACAGCCGTAGACATCATAAGATATAAAAACGACCCACCGCGGCAGCAAAATGGGATCTAGAGCCTACGCACGTCCCCGGATGAAACAACACGATCGAAGGTGACGAGAGGTCCCGTATGGCAGGAAGGACCCTCTTCGACCCAATTTCGTCACCTTGGCAAAATCCTGGTTACGCCACAGGTGGTAGTTATTTGTCTTGCCCAGATCTTTGGTTTGCTCGTACCGGGGGCAGAGAAACGTCTCTTAAACGTGCATGGGTCGAAATGAATTTTGATTTGACCCCGTACATCATCACGGGCTTAGTCTTGAGCCTTCGTCGAAAGTGGGGTGATGATGGCCAATCCAGAATATCTCTCGTTTGCTATGCCATGTGCAAAACTATCGTGTTTGAAAATTTTGGAAGTCAATGTTGTGAACAAAATGCAAACCGACATCTTGATATGACATCGAAGGCAGCTGGTAGCTGTCTCAGCTCGTTAGCGACGTGAATCAGGGCGCATACAAGTTGTGTTGCTTGGAGGAAGCTTTGCAAGCAACACAATCAAATTACGAAGTGAAATGATGAAGGGGCCTAGATCCATAGTTTCTGAACAACTTCGGGTATAATGCCAGAGTTCTCGATACATGGAGCCGGAGGTACTCTGCCTTGCTCCCTACACCCTCCCCAAAACGGAAAATGAACGAGGGGAGTGCCGAACGGAATGCGGAGAGAATAATTTGCGTTGAGCAAGATCGTGCGGCATGGTGTCGTGCTAACCATGCTGCCGTACTCCACGTGCCGGCAAGCGGAGCAATCTGCGTCGTCTGCAGCACTGTCAATACACACTGAATGCCGCTGGATCCACTGCTCCGCCTACGATACAAGTACTAGTCAATGCAAGCCATGCTAGGTTAGGTCATATGTTGCAGTGAAGCAGAAATCCGCCCACCTCCCGAAGTTTGGTGATGTACCGAACCCAGTGACCCGAACGCTGCTTACGTCCGCAGTCGCCTGTAATGCTTTCCAATGCCTGCGATCTCGTCCTGGATGCTAAATCTGGGCGGTGACTTATTCACGTCCGCCGACAGTGGGCTGTCGCTTTACCACGAAGGAGACTGGGAGGGGATGGACGTTGGTTCTCCCAACAGGAGCTGTCTGTGGTATTCAGATACCGTCGATGGAAATCTCCTTGAGGGGAGCCAGATGGGAGGGGGTTTCTGCCGAGAACGGATTTGTGACTTCCTTTGCTGCAGAGCATATTGGCATGCAACTTAAAACGTAAGTAGTTTGCAGGATGTGACATGGCGTGGGAGTGTTCCAGACGTTCAAACATTCTAGTTCGTTGGTGAGCTACTGAGCTCTTAGGGCGCGTCAACTGCATTACTTATTTGCGCGGCTAAAACATTCTAAGGTGCCTAGGGGCACGACAAAGGGCTCAATGCAACTGAACTGAACCAACGTTACGTTGAGATACTCCCTTAATTGGTCGCGTTTACCATCTAGTGACGTCTGCAAAGAAGCGTATTTTTAATACAACGGGGCAGGTGCGATCAAGAAACATCAAGTTTGCCTGCTGTCAAGATCTTATTAATTTTATCGCTGAATCTCCCGTGGATGTCTCTGTGGTTAAGAGATAGGATGGAGAACTGGATTCTCAAAGACAGCTCTCTGCACCGGTGCAAAACGATGACAATGTGCTATTTTTATTTAAGTAAAATATTTTTATTAAGTAAAATTTTGCCCTTGCTGGCAGCCTAAAATATTCATAGTCGCCAGTCCATTTCAAATTGAAACGAAATGATAAGCGTGTTCTCATGCAGACTTGTGCTCGATTCCGTCACAGCGGAGTCGGTTTCGGGTCGGACTCGCGGCGCACGCAGTTGATTTCGACCCTGCGTCAGAGCAGGTCAGCGCAGCTTTCGAGTTGACTCCGATTCCGACACAACACAGTGTGCCACAGGTCCGCAATAGGTCTCGTTCGATTGGATTCTGTGGCAGTGCTTAGGAAATAATGTGCATATGGGCTGTATAAAAGCTTACGTAGTGAGTATATATATATATATATATATATATATATATATATATGTATATATATATATATTATACATATATACACATATATTTTTCGACACCTGTACATGCAATATTCAATGCACTGAACATGTAAACTGCTCAACAAAATGTCTGCGTTTTGCCTACTTCGCCATTTGCGTGAACGCGTCGATGATTCGCGCATCGATGAACGATGAAACGATGGAACGACCGATTACTATGGACAAAGCTCCGGCTCTGAGTGTCATCATTTTTTTGCAGCTTTTCGTGCTCCGAAACTGTATGTCTTAGTCACATTTTAACGCCCTTTTACGTAGTCCCCTGATCGCGTGCTTGTCAACCAAAGCGCCCTTTCTATTGTTCGAAATGGCTGCCTCGGTACACTAAGGCGCTGAAGCTACGTGGTTATACGAACTATCCATTGTGGTAACATACAATATGTTCGTCAGTTTTGGGAGAGGTCGGATGACCTTATCTGCCGGTCTTCATAAAATTACAACGAACTTGCTATGCGCCCGTGGCGGGGTGTATATCAGGTGACGAGAAATGAGCCTTGCTTAGCTTTTGCTCTGGCGTTTAAGGCCTGATTTGCCCTGTATGTAAAGTTTCACTGGTCTGGCTTTTATCGAGGACTTGGTTAACATGTTTGGATGCGAACGTACCTTTGAGTTCGCGTGTATTACTACTCGCTTCCATGCGATTGGACAACGATGTTTGCGGACCAGGCCCGTAGGCGATAATGATGATATATTTCGCTTCTGGGCACCTACGTGCTTTAAACACTGCCAAAGGGGCGGATATGGCAAACCGCCCGGCCTTTGAGCATGTTTTATCTGTTTGCAGTGCCTTCTTACATGGCTCGTCCAGGCTCCATGATTTCGGACCATTCGGAACCGCATGGTGTTTTGTTCGTTTAAAAAGATATTTCCACAGGTCAGTCGAATTTATCTGGTAGTTTCAGTACGGGAAACAGCTGAGACCAAGCGATACAATACATGGAATTCTGAGCCCTTCCGATAGATGAATGTTCGTGTCTGGTATTGCGAAACGCCTGGAATGTGAGGGCATTAGATGACCTCCTCCCGCTAACGAAATGTGCGATGGGTTGTACGATAGCGTCGCGTCGCATTATGGAGGTGAGCCAGCGTCAAGAGGCAATAGATACCGTCGCATTCATATCTCGATTCAGCTGTTACATCGTGCTTGTGATAAATGGGATTTGGATGACAGAATATGGATCGGCCGACAGCCCTGCGATAATGAAATAGCTTTGTGCCCGATTTTCTCTTTCGATACTATAATGACAACCTAACATGCTTTGAGCAGTCAGTTTCGTTTTCTTTGAAGTTATGTATATTGATCATTTTAGCAATAAACATGACTGCTGGACACGGACAGCGGAATGTTTTTGGTTTTGTTTTACATTTGGCCTTGGGAAAATCTAGGGTTCACCCCTGGACAATTTCTATATTCATCACAACGTAGTCACCGGCGGGACGTGTCAGTGATCCGAACAGTTGATCGTTTTGACGAATATCGTATGTAATGACGTCAGTGAAAATAAAAAGTTAGCGATACACGTGCAAAGACATGCAAAGCTTAGCGCTTGATGCGACAGATTTAGTTGTTTGAGGGAATCACTTCTCATGAAAGGTCGCAGCCATTCTGCCCTGTGGCGTGACGTGATATGCGTGGTGTTCTCCACTGTATTTGTACGCTATGGTCTCCCTTTTTTGACCGTCCCCTTGAAAATGTACACATATTGTTCGGAAAATGTCTATTGATACGTGATTGGAAGTCCCGGCTATATGCGGAATATTGTGCTCTTAATTTTTGTGATTGTGGGGAGGTAAGCCATCCATGAACAAGATTTTAGACACAATGCAACGGTACGTAATCACTGAGCCTGCATAACTATCGCGTCATTTTTGACAGCACAGACACCGACAAGCGTTTTTATAATATACCCAGCAAATACACATACATACATGCAAAAGTGAAGGTCCTCAACACCGGCTTAGGGCTGTACGACTTTAATCGACACGATCACACAGCACACCTCGGATAACGTTAAAGGTAGGAAGTCAATAACAGACAAGACACCTGAAACTGGCATGGCATGCACAAGCCTGCTCGCGCACACAGTGAAACGTAACTCACCAACTCGATCTGACCCGTCAACCGGCAGGCGCAACGTGTGAAGGGTGACCCCTGCTTGGCGACGGGTGACCGTTGGCCCCTTTTTAGGTGATGGCCAAACAGGGGCCAGAGGAGTCTGGAAGCGTCACGTGAGAGCGCTTTGAAACGCCGCACCGCATGACAAGAGTATCTCGGTGCGAGATCTTAGCATGTAAAGGTCACTGTCCTGACCCGTGTGGTGGGTCGCGTAATGGTGCCCCGTGGGACGCCTCACAGGCCAGCGCTACGGGCTCCTCGAGCTGAGGAGTTTACGCTCCATGCACAACGCATGGCACCACGCTGGGGCATCAGCGCTGCGCCAGTCCGGCCTCTGTAGCAGATCCGAAGCAGCATGACATTTGCTACGTCCAAACTAATCCTGACAGCTTACTTTTTCTCATTTTATTTAGTTTTGACATCATGTTAGTTTACTTCGGGTCGTTTGACAGGTTCTTTTGAGTCCCAGCGCCATATATTGAGATACAGTGTCGGATCTGCGAGAGAACCGGTGTGTTGGCAAGCGTGGAGACGCCAGGAAGTGGTTAGCGCGCTGGCAAGCGT